GCCATGTAACAGTTGTCACATCTGTAGAGTTAGCAGATGATGTGCCTCTGTGTGTGTGTGTGTGTGTGCGTGTGTGTGTGTGTGTGTGTGTCAGCTATCATAAAAGCATTAAATGCGCAACAATTGGTGAATGACAGAACAGAGCTGCTGCCTCCTTCTGTGAGGTGAAGAAATGTTGCATTTAGAGTCACATGAACATCAGAGTTCAACACCTAAATGAAGGGTTCATTCCCTAAAGAGCAAGAATGATATCGGGAAACTTCATAGCAATTTTGACATTTGTATTGTATGTAACCTCCAGTTATGAGGAGATGGGTTAAACACCAATAAAATAGTGCTACACCAAAAGTAAAACACAACCACTGCTCTGTGCAATAACATGTTTTACTCAACGAATAGAAAACAAATACCGGTACAATGCTCATCAGAGTATAGGCTTAATAACTAAGGCCTTCAAATTAAAACAAAGTAACCCAAATTGCCCCTTTGTTCAGAGCTCTGATTCACTCATAAAAATAAATTTTAAAAAATGACACTTTTGTACCTGGGTGTTTAAATTCAATGTTTTTTTGTCCTTATTTATTTCCTCTTCAGTTGTATCCTTCCTCAAGGGAAATTTCAGTTTAGTTCAGCCCCGGCCAAAGGTTGTTTTTTCAGTTAGTTGACTATGAGTCGTCTTCTTTCATTAGTTTTGTTAGAGCGCCCTGTATTTCTATTGTGTGTGTGATCTTATCTGGAATCCACGTGGAGAAGGTGCTGCGTCCAAATTCATGAAGTCACTCCTCCACTCCTCCCCCTGCAGCCACAGTGGTGGTCAGGTGACCTCCTGCTCTGAAACTCCTGCAGTCGTCCTCGGTCAGAAATCGACTATAAAAGAAACCAACCTGCACACAAAACATTTTAACTTAAGTTAATGTCAAATTCTTTTTATGATATGCAGATGAATACCAATGTCTTATGGTTATCTTCTAAAATTTTACCAGCTTACTGCTCGCTTCACAAAACACAACATGATCATGATCAGTGCTGAGTTTTTATCAACCACAACACGTTTCTCTGATTGTTTTTTTTTTTTTTTCGTTCACAGTCATGAAATTAGCATGAGCTAACATCGCTTTTAAGATAGCACTGAAAAAGAAAACACTCACTGGAGAATAGTCATCGAAGCACATTAAAACGTGGTCCTCCTGAATCCTCTGGTAACATGACAGTCCTCACAACAAACTAACTCTCTGCTGGATAACTTTAACATTGAACTTAAAAGATATAACTTATAGTCATCTCCGCTCATGCTAGATACCTAGTAGACCCTGCTCGCTTTCTTCTCCCTCTCTCCGCCTCCCCTCCCTCCTCCTGACTATGACTCTCCATGCAGGTGCTTTGCGCCACCTCTTGGACTTTTAGTCAAACCGCAACATAAATCTACCTCTTCATCAATCAGTTAAATTTATGGGGTTTACATCCACAAAGTATGTAGATACAGAGAGCTCAATAAGAAAAAAAGAAAAGGAAGAGACAGCACATGAACTCAACTGAAGATGTCTGCAGACAGACGAGCACTAACAGTAAGTTTAGAGTTAAGAGATTAATTTGCATTTAGTAAAAACAATTGTGTGTGGGGCGTAGATACCTTATTTATCCTCTAGGTGAAATTCTGTTGCTCAGCAGCTTTTTTAACAGTGCAATGGAAAAACAATTAAAAAAATTCCAGTATTCATAATCTTCCAATAAAGAAAGTGTGGCAGTTTTAATAGTTTCCTGACCATAAAGGCATTGACTTTATGACAATAATATCCTTAAAATATTTCTACAGGCACGTGATTCAATTTTTGAACATAAAAAGAAGCATAACATGGATTGATGTTAAGCACACTGAAGCCTTTCTGTCCCATATTAACCAGAAGGATGAAGCTGTAATTCTGCTTTTGAACACTAGATGGTGTAAGTGAGAGGTCACAGCAGAGCTGACTGGAGGATCAGTTTATCCAGAACTGTTTACTCAACAGTCTACCCACCTTTTGGCACTTATATAATCTAGAAATATTGTTATTATAGACTATATTAAAGAAAATGAAATAAAACTCAACGATGACCATGTTTACTTCTTTTGCCATTTTCTTCAATAGGATTTAATTCAGCTCATATGAGCATGTTGTTGACAGCAGGAGATAATGGAAATATTGTCAAATTAATATAGTTTGGAAGATGTTCAAAAAGAATTATTTCTTTTGTTTTTTGTAATATCTGAAAAACTGTTAGAGGGAAAAGAAACTTTTTGAGATGACTGTTGTTACTGTTCGTGGTCCAGATGACTGAAGCAAGCAAGAGGAGGCAGGAGAAGGATACATGGATACAAAGGATCTTGTGAAAGAGAGCAAAATAGTACATAAACTATACTCAGGACAGACTGTTTACCATGACTAATGGCATGCGGTTAGCAGTTGTCAAGGCAACTGGCCAGCTATCCACCGAGGCCTCAGAGACAAACAGGAAGTAGAGTGAGAACTGAGAACAGCAACTGAAACTGAAACAGCAGTTAGTGTTCTGGTTAAACTGAACGAGCTGTAAGTGTCTGAAACAAAGAGACATCTGCTGCTCTGACAAAAAGCAAAACCACATACACACACGAAAAAAGTATTTTCCACTCAGCACACACACTGCTTGACATCCCCGTGCAGTCATTACATGCACTAACTTACATACCTCAGCACCAAACCTTTCAGTCTTACATCAGACCTGAGCTCTAACCTGATTAGCCCATTTTTTCCACCCAGTAAGGACAAACAGCACGTCCTTACCATGGAGGGCTTTGTTTTTAGTGGACATTTTTTATCTTAACAGCAACAGATATAAAAGTTCTCACAGTCTCTCATAAGCAATAAAACTGTGCTCTGAACTTTGAGTTCACAAGATAAACCCTCAGCCATCTATCTTCTTTCTACATGTCATAAAGCACATCAAACGCCTCTGCATAAATACAAAAAGAGTCTTTATTCAGATTTACATGTTGATTCACATGTAGTTTTCATAAAGTATACAGAATAAACAGTGGCGACAATGTAGTTGCAACTTCTTTGCTCCAATGCAATTAGCTGAGCAATTACCTGTTTTGTTTTTTTCCTTTGAGCTGAATGGTGATATTGTCCTTTATGATATGTGCTAAAAGTAAGAGTGAGCCACACCTCAGTTTTAACACAACAGTGATTCAGTGGCTCTCAATCACATAAGGCAAAAGCAGGATAAAATGATCAACCAACCACACGATAAATAACAACATTACAACCCACTTTCACTCTCTACTTTTGGCTGTAATGACATCCCTTTTATACACAAAACAAAGCAGAAATAGGCTCTAGGTATAAGTGCACTTTAATTGTTCCAGGAGAACTTCTTTTAAATTCAATGGTTAGGCTTGTCGAAGCCGAAGGGTCTGAACATTTCTTTAGTAGGCCAGATTCTTGATCATTTACAACTTCAACTTCAATATTGAAAACACTAAATTGAATGAATGAATTCCACACATTTGCACAGGTGTGAAAGCCTAATATGGACCACGCTGTTTACATGCATGGTGACATGTATAGCAATTTGGCACATTTAAGTGTCACCTCAGATTTTGGTCATTACAACAACATGGGTGTAGAAATGCCAACTGTTAATTTTCAGTATAGCGCTGAGAGAGGCTGTAACCACTACAAAATCATTGAAGATGCATGGTTTAAAAAAAAAGGCAGCTGTTTGTCATGGCTGTTCACAAAATGAACATACAAAGCTTTAAATATTGCCTGTGTATTTCAGCCTACTGAGTAGCATTTCCACAGGGAGTTATTATGAAGTGAAACCACAGAGAAGTAGAACAATTAGGTTCTCAATATGTGATGGGAGTTTCTAACACAATGAAGAAACATTTGGTAAAGCGACACCTATTCCACATCTGCTGTCAAGTAAGCCCAAACCCCCTTTGATTCAATGAGAACCTTAAATAATTTCATTATGATAGTAATGTGCATCCAGTGTTAGAATCTCGAGGGGTTAGGTTCAAAAACATGGCAGATTCCCATTTGTCCTACTGTTTTCCCATGTGAACTTGTAGAGCTGTTCCCACTGGAGCTCTGCTGAAAGCAGGCTGGGAATGAAGTCTGTGCTTTTAGCCTGCTAGCTGCTAACACACAAGTAGCTTTCTGATGTAGTTCATAAGGCAAGGAACTGTGACTCTCAAGGGGACTGGATATGAACATTTCATAATCTAATTCTTTTTAGGTTAATCATATTTTAACATTATTTATTATTTTTATTAAATAAATAATACTGAAGCCATTGCGCTTGCTTTACAGATTGTGAAAATTAGTGGTTAACATTATGATTCATTCAAATGTTGGAGGCCACTAGATTTTGCCAGGAAGAGTAAGAGGAGGACACAATGGTGAAACAGAGGAAAGACTTGTGCTGCAACATCTGTGCACTCAATTCAACTGGGAGATGGGAATTTTTGGGCTAGGGAGACCAAACCATAAAAAACAAGTGTGTATTAAAAACATCAACGCTCAGCCTCTGATGATGACACAGTCCTTTGTTATGTACCTCAAGCCCACACACTTCCCTACTCATAGTTATCATAGCATGATATTTACTTGACATCTTTTAAATGCACTGAAGGAATGTCCAATTTCACTTTGCTCCTTCCTCCAACACGACGACCTTAAATTGAAATATTCTAACACAAGAGAAAAATATTTCTAACATTTTCAACAAGTCATCTGTGCAAGTAAATATAATGAATGTTAACCACTTCTTCACTCCTCTATGATCATCCATGATCTCCACATACAAACAACTAAAATTCCAGTCGCTACTTGCATGTGTTACTAGCAGACTAAAGCATAGATAGTTTGTATCCCACCACACATTATCAAAGGCACACATCTTCAATAAGCCCCCCCCCCCCCTCCCTCTCTCTCTCACACACACACACACACACACACACACACACACACACACACACTACACACACACACACACAGACACACCACACACACACACACACACACACACACAGCAGTGCTGTCCATAAGGTGCAGAAGCGGCTTGCAGGCATACATACATATGAGCTATGTACATTATTAACACCAGGAGGCAGGAGAGAGAAGAAATTAGTACATTGTTCACAGTCTTGTCAGTCTGTCTCTCTGTCAGTGAGTCTGTCAGTTCATCTGTCTGTGTCGGCGGGTACAATGTCCTGAGGTCTCCAGACAGATACACACACACGCCTGATTTCCACTGTGGGGCAAATCATAGCTCGATAATGATTGTCATTCTTTTCTTTACGTAGATAACAACATGCCTGATTGTTTTTGTAACTTGCTGCCAGTTGAGCAGGTTTGCCAACAGAGATGTCATTTCCCCATAACATTGTGTATTTGTTGATTTGTCATGAACACAGATTGCTTCAAGGAACACACAATCTTTGTTCCATCCATGTGTCATAGTAAAGCATTTTTACAATTCATGTAAAAATTCATGCTAACACAGTTGAGATGACACTATTTTAAGATGACTAATTGTTTTCCTTGTCTTGGTGCAACATAAAATAACTTAAAAACATAGAAGATAGCTGAGTCTCAATCAAACAATGTAGTTTTGTAATTGCTTCTAATACTTAATGGTAAGTAATCCTAAAGGATGTGGTCAAGTCACATAGTTTTATGTAGAGAGATTCAAAAGACATTCCTTCTTGAAGGCAGTGGATGTTGTGCAATGAAACACTTAAAAAAAAAAAAAAACTTTTCACGACTAAAATTTGTCTTTCGCTATATAAAAGTGGAGTATTTTGTTAATTCAGCAGAGTGTATGCTACAGTGTTAGCAAAAATCAGCAGGGAAAATGCACTACCAGTGACACATGGATGATTAAAGGCTAGATATAGTCCAAAGACGTGGACATGGACAATACCACGTGTATACATACGTTTGTCGAAGTGTTCATAACTTTTAAGATGAACCCTTGCAGACATGGGAAGATGATGAAATTTACATCACACACACCCTCGCAGATACAGATGTATAAAGTAAAAACTGGGCTTCAGTGCTCACCGAGTAGTGCGCAAGTTTTTTTCCGATTAAAGGGAAAACTGAGGGAATTCATGGCCCAAGCAGAAGCTACAATAAAATCACAGATTTGGAAGTTTGGCCTTTTAGGCACCATGTGGCCCTGATGGGAGAAAAACAACATTCTCTGTCATTCCTATGCCTTGAGGGCATTGATGATACTCCCTCATCTGAGGTCAGGAGGAGGTGACATCGGAGGTTTTCATAATGACACTTGCACGCATCTCATGGGTGTGGCTGCTTGCCGGAGACACAAGAGAGTTCTGGGTGTAGGCCGGCGTCCAGCCGTCACTGTGATAGCTGATGAGAGGAGCTGGGTCTCGCGTACTGGTGACCCTGAAGTTGGGCTTGTTCGCAGTGACAAAAGTGGCCATGCTAGGAAGAGAACATGTGGGAACCCTGAGAACTGTTGTACTGTAGTCCCGCCTCCAGACTGCACCGACACCCTGTCCGGCAAAACAATTAAAAAAAGGAGAGATCAGGAAGAGGAAGGCGATATACTGTAACTTTGAGTAAGCACAATGTAAAAGCTGTGGATCATTTCTGACATGTTGTGGTGAACATTTTATGATTACTCTGTAAATACAACGCCAAAAACCACCACTGCAGAAATGATCCTGTGGCTGAATCAACATCTATGTGACCCAGTCAGAATATTTAAACATGATATGCTTCAGGCTGTTGCACTAATATACAGACACATGTAACACATGTAACATGGAGCCTTGGCTAAAAACTGCATTTTTTATTGACAATTAATAGTCACAATAAAAATGTCCGATTATGAGTTAAAAGACAGTTTCTATGTTACTACATAGCTCTTAATCTTACCACTGATAATATGTAGTGTGGAGTGTGTTTGTGTGTGTGTTCACCGTGGGTACAATGTACTACAAAGGCCAACCTCAAATCAAACTGTTAATGTTTGACAGCCACAGTTCCTGACAAGGCCCTCCCTTTTCTCAGTCTCGCAACATTACAGGAAGGAACACACACACACACACACACAAAGACAGACACACACACACAGAGACACACACACACACACACACAGAGAGAGACACACACACACAGAGACACACACACACAGAGACACACACACACACACACACACACAGACAGACACACACAGACACAGACACACACACACACACACACACACACACACACACACAGACAGACAGACAGACAGACAGACAGACAGACACACACACACACACGCACACACACCCTGTTTCAGCAGTAAGGTTGAAGCAGGTATAAACCTGTTTATCTGAAGATCAGAGCAGTTAATAATTCTTTCACTGCTCTCTCCTTTGTGTTTATGAGTAGGTATGAAAAATGGGATCTCACCTCTTTGTTGTCTTCCGTGTCACTGTCTGTGTCACTGCCTGTAGAAATAAAGACACATAAAAAATTAATAAAACAGTATTCTAAATTTTTTTTGTATCATGATTTAAACCAGTGTACTTTTTCTAAAGTATAAACATTGAAACCACTTAAGCAAAGAAGAACACTTGAATGTTAAAAGTTAAAATCAGTAAAGAAAACAAACATCAAGAGAGTAAAAGATGAAAAGAAAGAAGGGAGAATGATTATAATTTGAATCTTAACTCTTAAAGCAATGGCAGCGATTGAGAAGGATCAACAAAAAAGCAGATGTACAGAGAGGAGGGACAGATGGAATGATTACAGCTGGAAAATAAAAGAGCCAGCTCTGCCTGAATGACTGGTTGACAGAGAGGACAGATGAATACACAAAGAGAGGTGAGTTTAACAGATCTCAGAGAACTGATGAAGCTAGGGGTTAAATGAATTCATACAAACCAACATCAATGACAATGTAATGACCTCCAAAGACAAAATATTTAATGATCAGCTTGTTCAGTTTCAAGTTAGCCTTTTGAGATATGGACATATTTTACAGGAGAAGAAATTTTGAAACTGATGCTACTGTAAGAAAAAAAATTACTTTTAGAAAATCGCCAATGCATATCTTTATTTCGTAAGTACATTTTTTAAATTGCACAAATTTAAAATGCACTCAGCTTTTCCAACTGAAAGTTAAAAAACATTCTGAATGAGACACTGTTAGCAGCCTCAATAATCTTTTGTTGCATATTCACCGCTGGTTATTTCTTCACATTCAGCTGCTTTGCCCACAATTTTCTCCACTTAAGATAAGATCTAGTGACTGTGATACAGAAGTGGCTTTACTTTAGTTGTATTACGTAATAATGGGTGATGTAATAGCTAATAGCAGCAGGTCATCGGGTCACCCTCTCGGGTCACCACGTTTTTGTGGGTTATACAGAATGAACATCAACACATACAAACGGGTAAAGCCATATGTTTCAACACACAGGTACCATGAACCATGCCAGAGAAAGTTGCTCCTTTGTAAATGGTAACCACTGTGTTCTGAAATGGGCGCTTCTTGCAGTTGTGGTCAAAACTGTGGTTCTGAATAACTACAAATGCTTCAACAAGCCTGATCCTTTGTAACAAACCTATTTATGTTCCTTCTGGTAACAAAATGTGGTAAAGTGTGATGTGTGTGTGCGAGATATCTCACCGCAACATGAAGACACAGGAGAGATTTGGAGTGGGTACGAGTGGGAGGAGCTAACTGTCTGCTCTTCATTCTCTGTGGTTACTTCAATTGTCTGGCAGACGAATGGCAGCTGCTCGCTCGTGATCACGTGGTCTTCTACTGAACTGTGAATGGCTGTGAATGGACAGACAGGACATGGTATAATAAGCTGAACACATGGATACACAACAATTCAGTGATTGACTGGTAAAAATGTATCAAGTGTGTGGCAGGGTGGGTGCATGTAGCCACATACAGTATTTACCCACTGTTTCAAGATAAAGAGTTATGATATTTTTTCATCAGCTGTCCCTTCACCTGTTTAGTTTGTCAATATTGACTGAGAAAACCTGTAAACCAAGTGCTGTATCACAGAAACATCCTATTGTAAGTCTGAAGTTGAGATAGGGTTTTTCCAAATTTAATATTACAAAAGCAAATCCTAACTAACTGTAGGAATCCTACCTCATCCAACTTAATCCTATCTTATCTCAGGTTAGGAAATCGTGGATACTCAATAAAACATCAGTTATCAACTTTTATGTCTGTTACCTTGCAACCAACGATACTTTTCTAATCTCATCTCACTGAGGTATTTTGTAACCTGTTAGATTTCTCATTGAAATGTACAAGAAATGGCCATCTCGCTCAGGAAATCTCCTTTAGTAAAAAAAACAAAAAAAACAAAAAAAAAACAAAGCACATTTTTAAGGTGCACCACAACCAGAGACCTACGTCGCCGGGTCAACCTCTCCACAGCTGGTAGTAGCTGCTCAACTGACTGCAGGAACATGGCCCGGAGTGGTCTGTATCTACTTATGATTATTTTTTACACCAAACCACAACACGTCATTAAGGTCTCCCATGATCCTCTGAATATATAAGTTCCACCTGTTGATGTTTGGTTGGTTGTATAGAAGCAATAGAAGAGCAGTGACATGGATGAAACAAGTTAGCAAAGTGGTGGAAAAGCAAAAGTCAGGACAGATTATCCTAAATTTAGGAGAGTTTACACAAGATTTTGGGAAGTTAGGAAGCTTGTGTAATACACTTCTCCTATTTTACGTCAGGATAGGAACATTGGCTTATGAACTATGCATCTGTAATGGCTTTTTTTCCCTAAATCAGGTCCTAAGTCTAATCACCATGGTTACCAAACAGTTAAGATAGGATCTGCAAGTTAGGACGTTTCTGTGATACAGCCCCAGAATCTTGGAGGTCATTATGGCCTTATGTCCCACAGGGGACAAGATTAAATAAGTTAAAGTACACACTCTTCTCAGTGCCTTGCAGTTAGTGAAAAAGCAGTCAGAAACATTATGTTTTGCCTGTATTCAGACTTTGCTCATTCACTGCTGATTTTAGCTGCTATACTGCACACAAATTCATTTAACATTTAAAATGTTAATTGAAAACCCTGTGCTCCCCTGTGCCTTTGACTGTGTTTTTATTTCCTCTATTGTGACAACTTACATCTTATCACTGCAGTGTACCTGCACAACTGCTGTTCTGTAAAGCACTTTGAATTGTCCCTGTGGTTGAAATGAGCTATGCAAATCATTTTTTCATGCCTTGTCTTATGTTTCAATTCCGAGCAGAAAAAAAACAAACCAAACCATGACTCATCGGGTCACAGACAAAACAACCACATCATTGTTATAAAAAAAAAACAAAAAAAAACACTGGTGCAGTACCTGAGGCGCTGTCCGTGACTGTTAGCTCTACTGCTTCCTGCTTGACCACTTCCTGTTTGATCAATTCCTGTTTAGAATAGTCAATAGGTCCAGCAGTACCTTCGAGAAGAGTCCTGCCTGGAGACAGAGACACTGCCTGATGGAGAGACAGACAAAGACAGAAAAAGACTGATCATTATAGAAGATTGATATGATATGGTTTCGTGTCCAAACAGGACTTTAATGTTACACTGGAAGATCTGTGGCTATTTTTCATCACACAGTGACGGACAACCGTACCAACACTACATATATAGCCGAAAATCAATGGTCACATGCCCATTTAAACATAGTATCCTCAATATAATACTGTAAATCCATTACATTGTAAGTGTGACAATGAGAAACTCTAGTAAGACAGCTGGGGTGTAGTGACCCAGTGCACAGACATTAGCACACTTTATGTCAGAGGCTCTGCTCACGTATTTAGTATTCATAATATACTTGGAAGTGAGATTTATAAACAGTTTATTCCAAGTAAGAGCAGGATACACCCTGATATCTGGAGCATTTCAGGCATGTAGACACCAATCAAAAACCAGCTAATATTAAGCAAAAACTTTTTTATTCCTAAACTCATCATAAAAACAAGTCCATGTCTCTATGTTCATTTCTATTCAGAATTCCTGCATAGCAGATAGATCAGTTTGAGAGGGTTTCTGCTGTTGGGGTTTTTCTGACTCTGATTATTGATGATTGTGATTCTTTAAGTGAATTGCTTTTGGAAAGTTAAGTCAAAAAGGATGTCTCTAGAAGGAAATGTAGTTTAAGAAAGTACACTTATCTTAGTATGGTTAAGTATATTTTATATATTTTTTATTCAGTGTGTTTCCTATTCCTTAGAAATACAGCAGCTAATTAATTCATCCTTTCATCCTTAATTTACAAATGGAACAAGCAGCTACTGGTTTTACTTTGCATTGCTTTGAGAGACAGAACCAAATGGAGGAGCAGCACTTGGTTACTGTTCCTATTGTCTGGCAAATTTCACTGTAATGTGGGAACCGGAGCTGGAGCTGATTGTTCATGTTAGATATTTCTGGTAATTTGCCAGATTATGAGTGAGTAAGACTTCCAGAAATCGTTTGCTCTGTTTTGGAACAAAGGCAACAATTTCAGTGAAGTAAATATTTCTGTGATGCCTGATCACCAAACCAGCCAGCAGGCCAAGCAGTTACTCAACTGCACATTAAAGTTTAATTATACAGCCTGTGTTTAAATCAGACACTGGCTCTTCTTATTATTCCCCATCATGCTGCTGTTCTCAAACAGAGCTGCTGCTGCTTATGGTGAGCAGAAATAAAATATTTAATGTATGTTAAATGGTTATTTTCAGCAAGGGCAGACTTGATAAAGAGATTGTTTTGTTATGTGCACATAGAAGCCACCACCCCATCCTGCCAGTGTTGTTAGCTTCATGTGTGAGAAGAGTTTTGATATGTTTATCTACCTCTTTACTTCCCTTAGGCCTCCCCTCTTTGTCTGTCTTCTTCTTTCCTAAATGGATGTACACACAGAAAGAAACATATTTACAAATTGATTTAAAACCCACACTATATCTAGTGACTGTCTTAATTCAATGAATATGGAATTACAGGTGCATACTTTTCAAGAGAGAATAGCAACATCTAGAAAAGTGATAAAAGGTTTTAACCGGATCAAGGTGAAGAAGATTAGCAGCACTCACCTTTCTTCAAACTTCTTTCTGTGGAGGAGAGCATCTTATAAACTCTGAAGGCATTAGTTCCCTTTTTGTTGCTTTTATCCTTCACTTCCTCAATATCTGGCAGGCTGTTCATGGCACAGCGGAAATTAGCCTTCCAAGTCTTTGGATCTGGACGGTCTACGCCTGGCTGGTATTTACCTACACAAACACAAATCAGTGAAGATTGAAAACAAGGTAAATTATTGGTACAGATAACTAATCTCAGAATACTAGTTAGTAGAGTAGATTGTGTGCACAAAGTGTTACTATTACTGCTGCAAACCATTACTCTTCAGCTAAAGATTAGACAAAATATTAAAACAATGCTTTTCTGTTATTATACATCATTAAAAAAAAAAACAAAGTCTGTGCACTAACCATTTTTCATTCCTTAAATAGCCTTAGTATTGCACCATCAGTTCATTCATTGTTCTTCAATCTAAGTGTGGGCTTATCTCAGACACCTTATGTAGAAAACTGAAGATTAGATAATATTTCCTACTGCCAATTGCCTTATTAAAAACACTTAATTCAAAATATTAAAAGGTGTGTAATCATTTCTTTCTTCAATCTCCTTCTGGCAAGATTTTAGCTGATTTTTAATTCATTTTCCTTTTTCTATGATGAGGTAAGGAGTCGTGGGATTTCCCACTCTCACACAATCTCTCTGTGCTTCCTCAAAAAGGCACTTTAAAGCACTTTTAGTAAGCTTTCTGTGACCTAAATGAAAGGGACAATCTTTACAATGGGATTTCTTACATACAAACATGATCAAAATCGAAAGTCTCTTTGATTTGAAAGTGAACTGGTGTGGCGCCTGAAAAGAAAAGCCACTGAAAAGGAGAACCAGTGGGTGGACAGTTAAATCGGTGTATTACCTGTGTGTATGGCCCATCTCATGAAGAGCGGAGCATCTTTCTCCAGGTCCCAGCCGTGGCGTGCAGCATGCATCCACGGGATCTGGAAGATTCTCTTTTCCTAGGAACATTTATATTTTGTCAGCTCTTGATTTATAGTATTAGTGTGTGTGTGTGTGTGTGTGTGTGTGTGTATATGCATGAGTGAAGACTTACTTTATTAACCCATTTGAGTCCTGGTATCTGACAGGAGTTGATTTGCTCCTCCAGCCACGGTCGCATCCTCATTCTTTCTACTGGCATTTTGGCCTGTGAAAGCACAGAGTAACATATAATTATAATAGACAGCAACGTATGTATGTATGTATGATGACTGATGTATGGCTTTTAATTAAGCTATTAAACAATGCAGTAAGTTATTACAATAGATGAAAGGGGTTGGGGCAAAGATATAAATACCAAAACACTGTCTACTTTGCCAACCAGTATGAGAAGAAGCAACCACTGTTGTAGGTTATTTTTCATACAAACGACTGTGAACAAAACAAAGGAGAATGTTGAATCCCTCTTGTCTGTGGTTATAAAGATAAAAATCCTGCCCAGGTTCACTGTTTAACTTGCGTTGTAAAGACTGCGTCCTGTAAAATACTGCTCTCAAATAAAATTGTGCAATCATGTCTGTAATTGCAGCCATATAGCCCACTCCTTTCCACAACCACACGTTCATTGTCTTTGTTCCATTAGATTAACATTTGAAATAACTAAAAAGAACTTAAAAGAAGATAATGAATACATGTTTATTTAAAAACAGTGAGAGCAAACTTTACCCACCCCACCCACAGCAGGGTGGGTAAAGTTTGCAGTTGGCATACTGCAAACTTCAAACTGCCTCCTGACGTGACAGCAAGCTCCCTAACAGGTCAAACAGGGTGACATGGCACTACATCAGATACATATTCTTATTGCTTTTTATGAGCGACAGGGTTGACACCTCCAGCTGCATGCTGCTTGGTAAAACACTACATATGTACAGCCTGACTACAGTACAAAATCTGTATTACTATAGCTGACCTCAGCTGTAAAAGAATTTGTATGTTTTTGAGCTTGTTAGGGAACACATTGTGAATTAATTTCAGGGTTAAAAATAAACAAAAGGCAAGAAAATCATGCAGTTACACCAGTACCTCAACCTAAACTGTGTGGCAATGTCTTTTCTTTTTCTAATTGTACAACAAGACACATTTACTAGCCTTGGATTTGAAAAAGTAGGGAATCTGCACTAATAGCCAGGCTGTAAAAGTTGGGAAAACCTTTTAGACAAATAATTGCAATATATTAATGCTACACACTACAATTACAATTATTCATCTCACAGTCTGATTTGCACGTTTCAAATTATATTATATTGAATTAAAAATGTTTTGACATTTCTTTTGAACTGTGTACTCTCAACCATCCATAAATTGAATTTCTTAAATTTGTTCAAAACATATTCCTATGCTGCAAAACAGGATCAGACACATGTACGACAGTTCTAGCAACACAGGGCTGAACAGTACTTCGATTTTCAAACACATGTACTAAGACCTGAAAACAGCACGAATATTGTTCACAAGTCAATGAATGTTTCCTCAAATATCAAACACAAACACATACAGCTAAAGCTACTACAACAGTCCTACTGTTATTAATTGTTATCAAATCTTAACATCAGTCACTTCTAGACATGTTACCTCTATATTTGGTTAAATGTCAGTAACAGATTTATGTTGGATTAAAGTTTGATTTAGCAATGAGGGTCAAGTCAAAAGTTAACCAGTCTGTGTTTGTCTACTGTTTGCCGGCGTGCTGATCCAAAAACAACCGAGCCAAAAGTGAAAATAAATACCGTACCGAGTCAACAAACGCAGAGAAAACTACAGTCCCACTTTCACTTGCACAGCAAAGCTAGGGATCCGTCATGTCGTCCTGTAGGAAGTCGGTGTGGTGTGAATGCAAGTCAACAGCGTTAATATGCGGAAATAAAAATGTTACCTGTTCAGTTTGGACGGCCTGTAGCTTCACAGTCCTGCTGTCGGAACGACGGGCACAGCCGAAGTTGGACAAGTTCGTTTATTTGTGGTTGGAAGTGGAAAAACAAAATTGTGTCCGTCGTTTATTTCTGTTTCTGTGTCGAGACCGAAAGCAAAACAACGGCTGGTTCGGGAAGTGGGGGCTCGAGCTGGAAATCCCCCTCCTGCTCTCGTGCTCTCGCTTTAGGTCGCTCTAGAGCGGCGTCGCGGAAGTCTCTTGGCCGCGTGCGCGCTCTCCAGATAAACAGGGACACGAAGAGGTCTCACTCCGCTCTTTTTTTCCTCGTGTTGCCACGAAAGTCAATACAACTGCCTTTTCCTCATGCTTTATTTATTTACGTGGTGATTTAGCGGGGACAGACACATTAATAAACATACATATAATATAACGTATAGTATAATATATACGTATATGCAGTCCTATGACATATTTTACATAGTCACCCCAGCAAGAACATAAAATTAAAATTATTTGTGTACCTGTGAATATATATATTATACTATATAGCTAATCTTAGTACTCATCTGTGAAATTTTAATGAAAGCATCTTGCCACACCAGTATAAGACATGGGGCTTAAACATACTGTATTGCACTACCAATGTAAAAGTACCATATTTGAGAATGTCGAGATGGATTCTATAGTTTTGGCTCAGTATCTAGTAGAAGTTTTGATTTTATTATATGTTTTGTCATTTATTTTCTTTGAATGTCCTTACGTTGTTTGTTTTGTTTTTTATATGTGACTTGGCCGCTGTAGCAACACAATTTCCAGTCGTGAATAATTAATTTTCCTTGAACCTGAGTGTGGACAGACTGTGTTTTCCCTCGCCCCCCCCCCTCCATCTGTATCGGCTCTGTCCCCCCTAATTAAACATTGTGACATTCAGCCTTAACAAAGCTAAAATGTCGTGGCCAACTATTGCAAATGCCCATCATTAAAAGTCTGAGTGAAGTAACTTCAGAGCGTGAATTACCATAAATAATGTCGCTATGGAGCTTTGTATCGTGTGCTGCAAAATCCATAGAAGATCTTTGAGCTGGATTTCATTTTCACTTCCTCTATCTCCTCTTTACTCTGTCCACTCGTTTCTGCGACGCTGATGGTGGAATCGAAACCAGAAACTTTAAGCAACCGTGTGTGAGAGACAGATGAAGCACCCCACCTGCAGTCATTTGGAAACAGCAGATTTTCAGTTTATTTTCCCACACTGAATTCATGGGCTATAGTTAGACACGTGGGGCCAGAAGGAGATCAAAGTGCATTTCATGTTGAACACATGAGTTTCAACTGAGTTTTTTTTTTTTTAAACCATTGTACCTTAATAGTAAATTATAATTTTGGTAATATATCACCAATGAATAGCAGCTATTCGATCTTTCAGGTGCAGACTGACTGAATTTGCTGATGAAGTTATGATCATGAGGCTCATGTCATTCTGCCACTGTTTGGTCTCTCTACATGATGCTCTCTGTTTACATCAAAAGAGAAACCAGCTTTTGAAAAATACTGGAACAGAAAATATGATGTTTAGAAAGTACTATTTTTTATTACCTGCAAATTAAATACATGCAAACTGTATCAGGAGGCAGTTTTGAAAGGTCATACCAGGTCAGGTTACAGCCCTCTGGACCAGCAGGGATCTGCATAAAGCCAGGGTTATCTCCTCCTGACACACATACACATGTACTGTAGCTGGGAGAGGTCTGATAAACTAATAGTAAAAGTTTATAGTTCAACACCAACACTGAATGACCAAAAACAATGGAGACAAGAAGAACTATAGAAAAAAATCTTCTACCCCATATATATAATGTATAGTATAGTAATGTATATAACCTGTGTTTGAATTATTGAGGTATAATAAAACAAGAGTGACAGAGGGAAACAAATGTGGTGGCACCTGATTGCACAAGTAGTGGAGGAAACTTCATTTATCTGTATTTCAACAATATTGGAGTGGTCTGGTCTGTGGCATCGAGGGTTAGGTTTAGCCACAATTTCAGTTCCTGGAACAGTGCACCTTTGAGGGACTGCTGATTCATTTAAGGCCCATACATCTACATTGAATGTTTCTCTGGCTTCCTCTAGTGGCTGCTTGTTTATAAGCAGTCGCTAACTCACAAACCCATCCTGATAAACAGTTAATCATTCATAGTTCTCAACAGTACTACAAAGTACAAAAGAGACTCAATGACAGACACAGAAACTCCAGTTAGTGTATAGAGACACAAAGACTGAAAAAAATATTTAGAAAACCAAACTGTCACGTCTGATCTCAGAATTTTACCATCTAATTATTATTATTTTTTTTGTTAAAACCATTGGGATTTACTGCTTTAAAAAGACAGGGTATAACAAAATGTGGAATCTGTGATGCACATTATCATTGAATGGTACTCTACTAGAGACTCTGTTAATGCCTGGCACTTCATTTATCAATGGATTAATTCTTGGCCAGGAAAGCAGCCCTGCAAGATAGAGCAACATTTAACTTTCTTGCCGGGGAACTACTTCAAAGCCACTTTGATTATGGTGCCACCCTCTGGTAAAGCAGTTCACCACAACTCATAAAACAAATTGCTCTCTGTAAGATGATAAGGGCTGTGCCTAAATGACCTCTGTGTGCTGGGTCCAGTGGAAAGAAGAATCATTCAAGTGGAGTTAGGTATCACAGGGGTGTGAAGAATGCAGCTCCGGGTTACATAAGCAACTATTTTAGTCAGAGATTGTAATAATTATGCAAAACTACAACTAATGGTATTTCTTTTAGATTCAGGAAATCCACGAACAAAAATACGTTTTTTACACACTGCAACAAACTGCTTCTAGGATCTCTGCAGCAACAGCACACTAAGAAGGGTTTCAAACATTTGGTACAGAAGTGGTTGTGAAATAGTAAATAATAATAAGTGTGTTCTGTGTTGCTGTTTTTTTAACCTATCCTGTCTGACTTGTAAGGCATCATATTTGTGTCAAAAAAAATGTGATGCGATGGGATATTTTGAATGCATAAAAAGATTTCTTTTTTTGCCAACACATAAATTATATTTTGTGGATAAACTGTTATAATGCAAAGAATTATTTAATTTGGGCAAACAAAAAAATGTAAATAAAAAAATATATATTTATATAAATAAACTAACTTCCAACTTTGCTAATATTCATATACAGTAAGCGCACAACATCAACCTCCACCCTAACTTCATCCAGCTGCTTTTAGTGAAAATCTATCAGCACAATGCAGAGACAGTGGTATATAGTAATATCATTATTATTGTGCTGCTCAGATCAGATTAGGTAGATTTAACATAACTTTAACATTACTGAACTTTTGAAGAAACAAGGATCAATTCTTAAAGAAGGAAAAAGGAAATAAAATAGATTTATTTTCATGTTTTTTAACCTTACCAAGTCAAAGTGATTTACAGTATTTGTGTTTGTACATTTTTTTGCATTCAATGATTAGTAAAAAGCAGACACGTTTAGTTGTGTGTGTACCAGTGCTATAAATACACAGTATTTATGTACCAAAATTAAATGATGATGTTAAAGTGTGTAATCACATAACAAATGTATTGAAAATGCATGATCCCTGGAAATTATTCCAACACCTTAAAAGAAATAAAACATTAATTCATAACAAATAACAGTTCAGTTTCAACAGAAACCTCATGGATCTGATCCTTTTAATCTTTATGCTGCCCATACATTTGGTTTCTCCTTGCATCTTATCCTGTTTGCACAACCTGTACAACATACCACAAAACTTTGGTGTGTGGCCAAAGAGAAAATAACTCAGGCAAATATCTTTGAGGGTAAAACAGATTAATGTGAAATTAACTTAGTTTCCTAAAGAAAAAGTCTGTTTTAATCTAGCGAGGAAAGTAAAGGTCTTTGGTCAACATTGTGACAATACAGGGGATCTGCTTCTTGCCACTATATCCAGGTAGGTTGGAGGCAGACTCAAAGCTTAGTGCTACCTTGCGGTTGACTCGGGTCATGATCTGCATCAGCTCCAGCTCTCCACTGTAATGCTGCAACATCTCACACAATGCCTGCATGAACCAGGAGCCGTTGAACGTGTTTCTCCATGAGTAGTAGCCTGCAGGACAATGGACAGTGTTACCGTTCTTAGAAAAGGTGCACACACTGACAGTGTATCCCTATTCTAAAGTGATTACACAAACTGAGAACAAGGATTATACAGATATCAGTCTTCTAGGTGTCATTTACTGCAGTTTCTGTTGCTGCCATTTACCTGGAGCAGTGGAGTAAGCATACAGGAAATCTGCCTCCACAGGAATCCTCTCTGAGGTTGGTTCTAAGGTTTCACTGTCGACCTCAAGGGAGGCTCCCTCATCCAGGCCAGAACCACGGCACGCCTAGAAAGGGTGGGAAATCCAGGTATATGTCATTTACTGTGACAGCGTTAACAACAACAAAAAGGTCCATTGTAACTAGGTTTGCAATTATATGAGATTTTCAAGGAATGATAAAATTATTGTTATCATTATTACCAGTTGCAATGATCATTAAAGGAAGGTTTTTTTAGTTGAACAAATGCTTTATTATAATTTCACAAAATATGATGTCCCGACAAACACAAACGATAGAATTCAATATTTTTTAATAATGCTACTACAGTAGAAGTCAATACTGTAAATAAGCAAATGTACATGAACAGTCAATATTCAGACCATGGTATGCTGGGAAACCGGTCTCCTGCTGCAACACTAACTGTACCTGAAGCTATTTATATTTGACTGTAATCAAAACTTTACAGTGAGAGCAAATTAGATTTCTACACCAATGTATTCGTTTTGAGTCATTAAGTAGTTAAAAAAAGCACAAGATAATACTACTGAGAGTCACTTTGAGAATTCACTAAAACAAGAATAAAAAACATCACTATATAACACGCATTTCAAGAAACATTGCAATGGATGAGACACAAGTGCACTTGTGCGGTAACGTGTCTATATTTAACTAACCTGTATGAAGAAGAGTTTCGGTTTCCCCACCAGACTTTTGCAGCAATCTCCTTTAAAGTATTTTGTCAGCTTTTCAAACTTTTCACAGCCGTCTGTGCCGTATATCACCCCGTCATCTCCATGGCTCAACATTACACACACAAACGATGCGCTGCTACTGTGGTCTTCCTCGGATACTAGAGACAGACACAGGAGTAGATCTCATTTTAAATGTTGGGAGTCTGGACGGATGCATGCATGGCTACTTTTAACGGTTCCCAAAAACATTTATTAAGATCATGATAGAGTTTGGGACACACACAGATTATTGATCCTGATTACACTGCCATGTAGTGGCTACTGCATGGTAATGTTGTACACTGCACAGTATATACATATATGTATATTTGTATATATGTGTATATACATATATATATATATGTAAGTATAAACTATGCAGCAAACAGTAAAGCTTTTTGTCACCTAATAAATGACTATGAAAAATGGACAATTAAAACAAAGTGTTAACATTTTTCCTAATGGGCCCCCGTCATAAACTGTGGTGACTCACTTAGCGACAGATGTCAATGCTGACGCATTGACTACATCTACATATAAATGTTGAACATATGAAAACTAGTTTCTATTACCATTTTTCAGCAGTTTTTTCATCTGCTCCACAGTCTGGTCATTGGCCACTTTAATCTTGTAACCCAGAGTAGAGAAGGTCTTCGCAGCAAAAGCAGCATCAACATCTGTCCCATTACGAGTACTCATCTCTAGAGACACAAAAACACACTCAGAAATGCAGTAGACTTTCAATGACAGCACCCACAGCATCTACGACATAGTTCAAAGAGCAGGAACATGAGCTCTGTAAGACTCATGAAACAAAAATCAGATCTTTTTCACAACAAAGTGAACTTCTAACTTCATCCTGTTTTTATCTTTAGGTTAGGAAATCCTAATATTCAATCCAACATCTGTTATCATCTTTTATTTCTGTTATTCTCACTGAGGTATTTTTATAACCCTTTTATAACCAACAAAAAATGGTCACTTCACTCAGAAAATATCCATTAGCAGTCAGTTGCACCACAGCTGGTAGAGCCCCATGTCGCCGGGTTGGCCTCTCCACAGCTGGTTGTAGCTGCTTGGCTAACTGCACGATCATGGCCCACGGTGGCCTGTATCTACTTAGGCGCGTTTTTTCATCAAACCACAACCCATCATTAGAGTCTGCCATGAGCCTCTCAATAAATAAGTTCCACCTGTTGATGTTTGGTTGGTTGTATAAAAGCAATTAAAGAGCAGTGATATGGATTAAAAAAGTTAGCAAAGTGGTGGAAAAGAGTTCGGAGACTTTATTTAAGATTTTGCGAAGTCAGAAAGCCTGTGTAACACACCTTTCCTATCTTTAGTTAAGACAGGAACATTTAGTTAGGAACTATTCAGCTGTAATGGCTTTTTTCTTAAATCAGGTCCTAACCTGAATTACCACGGTTACCAAACAGTTAAGACAGGATCTGTAAGATTGGAAGTTTCTGTAATGCTGCCCCTGGACCCTGAAACTGAAGCAACTCAATGGAATGCAGCATTCATTTTATCTTTTATGCTTTTCCTACTGTGACATGTCAAAATGTCCACTTCATCTATAACAGCTTTTTCCCTCAAACTTGATCTCAGTGACAGTCCTCCCATCTCCTCTCTGTAAAACATACTGTGTAAGTGGTGGAAGCAGGAATGTAAGAAATGTGGAGGATCTGCTTGGAGCTCTGACTGCTTTTTACTCCTGAGGACACCAGGCCAGTTTCTGCTTAAATCGTGCACAACTAATGGGTATTAGTTAGGCTATTAAAACTTGGAACATGGAATAGTTTGTTGATTGATTGAATTTACAGTACATCTGTTCAAGTGGCCATGAAAGGAAACTGACTGAAGTGTGCATCAGTGCATATGAATTGTTGAGTGAGTGTATTTACGTGTGCAACTGTGGAAGTTCTTGTTGTTGATAATCACACAGGTTCCAATGGAGGGATAGTCCATCTTGTAGCGGTAAGGATCAGAGGCTGCTGCTGTACTGCTTTTGCTGCTGGGGACAGAGTCCACTTCCTCAGATGTCTTACTACTCCTGAAAACACACACACACACACACACACACACACACACACACAACTGTGAACACACTTTGAAATCATTTGAAACCTGAAAAACTTCTTTACCAATGTCACATTTGATCTCCTGTGTTCGGTTCCTGACGGCCTTCTAGTGAGTTTTTTTTTTTTACTTTGTTTTATTAAAGCACATGCATTGACATTCCTGCCTGGTTCGTTGCCTGCATTTGGGTCCAGCCATCCCAACACGTGACACCATTTATGTATAATTTGTCCTAAAAGAAGGTCAGATTATTACAATTATGAACAAAGACAATTTATTATAACTAATAAATAATAAGAGTTTAAATACAAAGGTGACTGACAGATATGAATGATTAAATAAAAATATTTCAGTGACTTTAAAGGCCCTCCATACCCATGGTACACACACACACACACACACACACACACACACACACACACACACACACACACACACACACACACACACGCACACACAGCTGATTTAACATCTTCCTTATTCTCCTGCTGGATTTGTTTCACCTCCCAGAGTAGGACAAACTAGACCGTTATCATTCTTATTGGTGCTTGGGGTTGAGTCACGTGATGCCCACCATCAACCTGAGCAGAGGTCAATCAGGCCAAGATAAGTGACAACACCTTCACAGGTGTGAATAATTACCCCCTACTACTGTATTTTTAACAGAGAGAGCAAATAGGTTTAGGTACATAATATATAGGTAGTCAGACATTGTTGGGATACAATGATTACCTCTTTGAAAGAAATCCAAAGGCATCCAAAGTGTCCCCACCGCTCTGCTTGTCAGCATCATCACAAACCTTGGCCATGTTCCTACACACATAAACAGAAAGGCACAGTGTTTTAAAACAAAAAACTAAATACATGGAAAAAACCAAATAAAAGGGGGTGGCTAACTCTCCCCTTCACTGAACCTCAGCAAAACCCATCCTTTCATTAGCTATACCAATGACACTGTATATAACTCCTTCATCATTTAATGATGAAACCCTTTCAGCTTGAGTCTTTTGCACTTTATACTGGCAGTAATATCACATTGAGTGATTTTATTTCATAGATATTTGTACTATGTTGACTTGAGCCTGTTTTTCATTGGGTTCAATTACAGCCTGTAATGTCTTGGTTTATGTCATCTTGTTCTGTGCATCTGGACAAAGCTCAATAAATATACATAAGTATATATTTATTTCACAATTTTAGACTTTTCTGAACTGACTTCTGACATCTTCAACTAGAAACATTAGAAAACAATTAAGCAGGTTTGGCTTGTTCCAACCTGTACACAGGTTTGGTGAGAATACTCAGGTTTTCCCCCTGGAAGTAAGCCACCAGGAACATGCCAGATCTAGTCTCATGATCAGTCAGCAGAGGATGGCCTTAACAAAAGTTAATGGTTTATTACATAAAATTCTGAAATGTTTGTTTGTTTGTTTATCGGTGGAGGTCACTTTTGTTTCAGGTGAGGTGGTCCACATCTGCCATAAAACACTGCAGGAAACACTGTTATGTTTATTTTTACTTAACTATTATTTTTCCAGTTCTTAGAGGTATGTTAACGCCACTCACTACGAGTGGTATTTTGGCGCATATCTCGCTGTTAACAAGATTCCTCCCTCACAGAGACTAGTTCTTTAGTAGAAACTAAAGACAGTGGTTCTAGTGAAATTTTTGACAGCGGGGTCTGCGGGTTATTCACAGAAACAAATGCACTTCTGTTTTTCTTTGTTTTTTGAGCAGCTAAAGCAAAAAAAATGTAATTTACCCAAATGGAAGAGGGGTGGCAGCAGAAAATTTCAGGACAGATATCCTAAAACCCCAAGAGATAACTACACTATCTGAATAAATTGGGTGAATGAACCCTTTAAATGTAAAGTGATCTATAGTGATTATGGCTGAATATGTAATCAAAATAATATAGAAATCTCAAAATAGCCAAGTGCAATATCCAAATAACAGCATCAGGATTTGTTTTTGATGAATGTAAAATGTGTCACAATAGACCATAAATGACCCAACAATAATCCCATCATCATCATTTTTATATTTTCTTTCAGTTAAAAATGTAGTGCAAAAATGACCACTCTGACTGAAATCGTGATTCAAATGGTAATCTCAATATCTGCCAAAATAATCACATTATTATTTTCTTTTTCTTTGCATATTGTTCAGCCCTACAGCCTGCTGTAGGGTTGGTTCAGTTAATTTGACAAAGGATGCTACATCACACAACCGGATTTTATCTTCAGCAAAACCACCAGTACACCGCACAAAAAGAAACCACCATGTGTGGTTCAAACTGGCCAAAAAAAACCGGACTGATTCTTATAAGCTGTTCACACTTAGTTATTACATTATTCCGGTTTATTGTGTTTAGCATAGTCATTATCATGGATGAATTAAAAGGGCTCATATATTACAAAATATATGATATTATTACTTCATCATAATACATTATCTAAAATATCTTTAATGTATCATTGTGAATCTGATAATACATCAATGGTTTAAAGTTAGCAGCATTCAGTGCTGTCAGGACGTACCTCATAGCGAAACTGCATTTCCAAAGCAGGAAATTATTTACAGCTCTTTCATTCATTGAAAAGAGGTAGGTCATTGAAATCCGAAAATGACTATAACGATCTGTGTAAATACCAATAATCAACCTTTGAAATATGAAGTTAACGACAGATGAATCCCTGTTGAACCGTCTGACGTTGCTCCACGCAGAGATATAATATAATATTAACACAAATTTTCTGTAGGAGACGCTATTCTGAATGTTTGAATAAGCCCCCGTTAAAAAAAGAAACACGTAGCAAAACTGTAAAAAAGGAAAATGTTACAACTAATTTAGCTAAGGTTACAAATGGAAGTCCCTGCAGCTAAATGTGACATAAAAGCCAAAAAGGTGTAACAACCGTCATAACGTACCTGATAAAACATTTTATTTACCTGCAATAAGTTTAAAACTCCGACCGAACTTGAAACAGCCACCTCCTACTTCCCATTTATTTCAGAGAACCTACTTATATCAGGTGTTGCCTACGGTAGGTTCAGTGAAGCAAACTAATATGGAGACCAGTTTCACCAATCCTGTGTTAGCTGGAACAGACACGACAAACCTAATACTTCGTTGACCTCATACATGTGAATAATAATAGAACATTTATAAACTTTAATTACAATAAACGTACCTTTTCCGTGAGACAATTGTAGTAATGAGTCTTGCAAGGCCCCCTCCTTAAGGAAATGTGAAGTTGTTCAAAGTACCAGCGTGAAACTTTGAGCCAATTGGGGAACGTCGCTTCCTGTGTGGGCGGGGAAAATCTCAAAATGTCAGGAACACCTTGACCCAAAAATAAATTGATTGGCTTAGAAAACTGTCCCTTACCGTCAAGATCAAGCCCTTAGTACAGTATGTAATACAGTAGTACAGGAATTAAAATTTATTTTACAAGTCACATACACGGAGAATTTATTAATAGTAGAGGCCAGTCATAAGTTTTACAACGATTAAGTTTTATAATTCTTTACCACAAGCATTGAGCATTTACAATTTATGTTTTGTCAGGAAAAGAAACATTAATATGCATTATCTTTGTAAAGCTCAAAAGACACACAAAAAGGAAAACTTTTTTACATGTATTTATTAAACATACAATATTGTAAGTAAACTCAGATCAAAATGTTGGATGATTTACGAAATCTGAATCGAAATCCAATCCAATCCAAAATATCAAGATGCCTCTGGCCTTAAAAAAAATTCCAACAGCCTCAGGATTTCTTATAATATGTTACATATATAATACATGCTTAGAGAGGCTTTAACCTCTGTGCATTTGTGTGTGTGTGCCATCTTGCCATAGCACATTATTTACAAGTCCCATTCTTCTTCAGTCTTTTTTCCATTCGGTTATTAATTCCTCTCAGCTGATGCTCTGCCGACTGAACATGCTTTGTCTCCAGTAGCAGAGCCGGTAAACTGGACGCCCCGTACTGGATGCGAGGAGGAGGAGAGAGAGAGGTAAGGAGTGAGTACAGTATGTCACCATGAGAGCTTTATTGAAAATCTTGACAAGCATCAGCTGTTCATTAAAATATCAGTAAGATTAAGATGGTTTGTATTTCTGGAGCTTTACCTGTGAACAAGACACACAAATACTCCAGCAGTACTCTGGTGATTATTTCTATGATTTCTAAAGTCAATATTCAATATTATTTATCAGTTATCAGTGTTGTGTGTTTGTACCGTCTCTTTCTCTTTGGGGTGTTTGTGTCGGTGGTCCAGGTACTGCTGGTTGAGCTCTCTGATGTCATGGAGGAAGGCACGGCTTCGTTTCAGATCAGCTAGTCGGAGTTTGAGTTCCGCCTTTTCCTTCTGTAGAAGCCACACCTGTCTCTCTGTCCTGTCGCGCAAACCACACAGAGTAAAGGTCATTATGAGTAATTGAAAACAATATGAAAACAACCTTTACAGCAAGTTTTACTTTCACTTTTTAGGTAAAGTTAGTTCATAAAGAATGTTTTTAACACTGAGCAGACACTTTTAATGTTATGTATACATCCAACTGACAATGTCATGAGTGTTTCATTTTAAAAGTGACTACTTTAATTCAGACACAAAAATATTACAGTAATCTGTTTGTGAAAACAGTTACTTGTGTCTGTGCGTCTGGGCTGCTTCTCACCTCATCAGCTCATGCTTGGCATCGAACAGTCTCTGTGTCTTTGTGCGAATCTAGTGAGCCACCTGCCACACACACACACACACACACACACAGACACAAACAGAGACAGACAGAGGAGAGTAAATACAGGCTGCAATCATGTATGTAACAAGACGAAGAACCCACAGCCATGCTAGCATGCGCACGATGACAATGCTAACATGGTGATGTTTAGCAAGTATAATGTTTACCATGTTCACCATCACAGTTTAACATGTTAGCATACTTTGCTTATTAGTACTTAGGCTGATGGGAATGTCATTACTCTTGCAGGTATTTGGTCATAAACTACTCACCTTGCTGCTAGCATGGCTAAAAACTGGTTGCCATAGTTACCTTGGTATTTTCCCTTTTCAGAACCCTGAGCTCCTTGTATGAAGAGATCTGGAAAAGCAGAAACACCAGAGAATATACATGTCTTTGATTCATTTCAATCATTCATTTCCAGTTTGGTTGATATGGCAAAGTATATAGGCTTACATTTATTATCAGCTTGATAAATATCACAATGGTGCCTCAGGGGCTTACTCCGGGGCGAAACATTAAACCACTCTTACTTGTTTGTAACATTTTTGGTAGTTGTTAATTATCAGTAATCTATGGTTTAAAAATCCAGTATGGGACACACCTAACACAAACAACTTACTGGCATTCATTCACATTGGCCTCATTACTGAGGTAATTAAAAAACACTGAGAAGTACAACGCTGTTTTAATTTTGTACTAGATTCTCTAGTGCATATATATTTTCTAGTAAACAAAAATAAGTCTAAACCTCTAAATGTCAACCTGAAACACCTTGACAACCACACAGAGTTCAGTTGCTCTTTTCCCTCGACTCCTCTGACCTTTTCCAAGAGTTGCTCTTGCACATTGGAGGAGAAAGAATCAATGGAGTGTTTGACTGCTTTAGACTCCACAGACTCCCTGAAAACAGACAAACACATACAAAGAATGTCACCACTGCACTAACACACTCTCTAACTGCAATGTGAAAAAATAAAACCTAAGAGATATTTGTGTGGCAATTTACTTGTACTGGTCACAGAAATCCAGGAAGGCATCCAGCACCACCTCTAAATCTGTTCCTCCCTGACGACCACGTCTCTCCCTCCTCTGTTTGTCGGTGTTGGCGTTTTCCGCCTCTGTAGATGCACTGCCTTCAGGGGGAAGAATTACATTTTTCGTGGTTCAAGTTTAATGAAGAATAGAAAAAACTGATTCCAGACCTTGTGAAAACCAGATCGCTATAAACAGAAAAAAGATAGCAATAAACTCATTTTTACACTTACATTTTTGAACAAATTAAACCAAAGAGATATAAACGTGTTAATCAGTGAGCTTTAGAGGTGCTGGTGGGCAGACCCATGCCAGCTGTTTCCTCCAGTCTTTATGTCAAGCTAATTGTCTCCTTCATACTGAGCAAACAGGGATGTGTAAGGGGTATCCAGCTTCTCAGTCATAAGTGATGCTGACTTTCATGCTGTGTTTCCTTACCTGATGAAGACTTTCTGGATTTAGACCTATCAGACGAAGACTTTCTAGTTCTGCCATAACTATAAAATTTGTCCTTCTTTGGACTTGGGGCCTGAATGAATGAGATAAAGAGAAAGATGAAAACAAACTAAATGAGAGGTCACAATTTAAAGCCACATTTTTGTGGCTACTTGACTCCTGGTTACAGCTGTCTGCTGGAGTTAGTCCATACCCAACTCGTGTCTTCGTCCACCTCTTCATCAGAGGACAGCACTCTCTTGCGGCTCTGCTGGGCGGTGTCAGTGTCAGAGTCCTAGAAAAAAAAAAAGAAAAGGATAACTTATCAAAAACAATTTGTAACTGATAAAACTACTTCAACAATGTGTGTTTTTTAAGCTAAGCAATTATATCACTTTTGATATTAAGACTGTTTCTGACTGTTAGTATTGTTTAAGGGTGAGAGCTCAGCATCCACCTGCCTACAGCAGTTACTGCATCATGCTTGTTTCTGTACTTGTTTGAGTGGCTTTTATACTCTTCCTGTCAGTTTTAACCACAATACATCACACTGTATATAACAGCCGAGTTGACAAGGGAGCTTTCAGCTACTGATTTGATCTTTGACACTCAGATCCAGTGCTTTCAGGTCACACCTTTCACTCATGTGTCTAAAGACAGACTCATGTCACTAAGTGATTTTATCCTGCATAACATTTGCACTGTTGTATGTACAGCACTAAAGGTTCTGCCATAGCTCATGTATCCTGGCATTATGTTTTGCTCTAATATTACTTTCATCATGACGATATTACTACTAATTAGATGTACTTTGGACTTGCCTGTGACTGAGGGTTTCCACTACTAGGTTCACTCTTTCTCTTCATGTCCTTCTTCATCTGCTGATTTTTCAATGGCCTTGTTGTGACACAGAGACAGATAAATAAATTGACACAAAGACAGGAGGACAGGCAGATCAATATGTCAATATACAGGACAGACAAAGCTCTCTATGTGACCATACCTTGCTGCAAAGGTCTTTCCAGCACTCCTCTTCTTGGCAGGCTTCTTCCTGGCGGCTTTTGGGGTAGGTTGATTACTTGTTTGGAGGATGGCATGAGCACCTGACTCTGCTCTTTCAACTTGAGGTTCTCCCTTCTTTTTCTTTCTTACTTCTCCCTTCTCTGGCCTTTCAATTGCAGACAGATGAGAGAAAATGCTGCATTCACATCATAACACAGTAGTATGACCTTGTAAAGTAACAGTAGCAAACAAATTCCTTTGACCTTACCTGGCTTTGACCTTCTCTGCAGTACTTCTCCTACTCCTCTTTTTCGTCTCCTCCTCTTCCTTGACATTCTCTTTATCTGTCGCTGTCTCCTTTCTCTTCACCGCAGCTCCACGCTGTTTAGCAGTGGTCTTCAATGTCTCAGGAACCTCCTTTCTTCCTGCTTTTGCTTTGTCCATCTGTCCCTCCTCGGAGACATTTAAATCTTCCTCCATGGCAGTGCTGTGCAGAGGGTTACCTAGGCAACACAACAGATCTCTAGTCAGCGCAAGATTGGTGGTTTGAAACTATGCTAGACTCTGGAAACAAGCTGTCCTAAAGAAACTGAGAAAAAGAGAAAGAGAATAATGAAGAAAAGATATAGAGGCGCAGATGTTCACGCCCAAGAAAACTAACTGCCACTGCTAACATGAAATCTGTTCGAATAAGTTATCGATGAGAGAGAAGAACAGAAAAATTAATACATTATCAAGAGACGTACATATAGTATGATGATATTTTTGAAATGTTTTGTTTTTCAGAGGTTTTAAATAGTCATAGATACCCTGTAGATAAAGGCACAGGTATGGATAGGGACAGAATAACTGTGCAGTGTAAAGACTCACCATAATTTAACTGTAGTCCCTCCAGGAAGCTGGCTTTGTCTATCACAGACAGGTTGGGAGAATCCATAGCAGAGGTTTTCTGGATTTGAAAACAAAGGAGAACAATAAAATGCCAATTATATAAAAAAGAATCATGCTATTGACAGGGGGATAACCCATTTTTATCCATTTCAAAAAAAGGCTATTCGTATCAATTTTCATCCAATCACAATGTACTTAATTAAATCATGCATTGACTAACTCACTTCACTCTCATGTGGTGGCACTGGGGGCACCTTGGCTTTTCTGCCCTTTTTTGCACTGTGGAAAAAAAAGAAAATAAGGTGACCTTCATCATCAACATTTGCAATATTTGTGCCACCACCAACAAGAGGTGACACCTCCAACCAAACAGCTCTGGTTCCTAGGTCGTTGAGCATTTCCACTGCTGAAGTGACGATGAATCCCCATCAGCTCCAGGCTCGTGTCTGTTGCTGATATCGCTGGGTGCTCTGTGTAGCTGTTATGTGACTAACTTCAAACCAAAGTCCAGTCAATAACGTAGCAGTTTAATATGCCAATCTATAAAGCAAAGCTAATGGCCTTTGTGATGTAACCGAATACTTATGTGAATAAAATTCTTATATCTCCATCAAACAGCAATTGAAACAAATATAGTGCTTATTTTTTTGGCTAGCTTGACAATTTTTCTTAAGTTATTACATTTACCACTAGACCAGCAGAGAACCGTTAAATCGTCAGATTTTTAAATGAAATTCGTCAGACTTTTCCGACAAGAGAGAGTGGCGTGAATATTGGATATAGATTCCGATTTTGTTGATTCATAATCCATATTTCTTACCTCATTTGGAACAACTACAGCTATAATAACAAAGCTCTTTTGTAAACACTCCGTTGCGCGAACAGCTTCCCGCAAAATGTTTCAAGTTCCGGACTGTACCACTGCAGATAAACAGGGTGGAAGGTGGAACAATCTTAACAACAGAATAAGTTACAGCTCAAGATAAGTACCTGTAAACTTCTCCATTAAATTTTACAACGATATGGTATGGGTACAGTTTACTAAATAAAGAGTTACATTGACAATTTGTTTTTAAAACAAAACGAAAAGCAACCAAATGTACACCGTGGAGATACGTTCAAATTTCTGTCCTACGGAAAGAGAAAGGGTTCACTACACTTTGGGATTGTTGAAATTTTGATTTCATGGAACTCAGTTTTTTTTCTTTCTTTCTTTCTTTCTTTCTTTCTTTCTTTCTTTCTTTCTTTCTTTCTTTCTTTCTTTCTTTGCAGTTAGATACCTTAAATTGCAGTTAAAATAATAACCTTAAAAAAATCCCTTGTAATAACGAAATAAATTACATATATAAATAGTTTCCACAGCCACAATAAAGAGACACAAGATCAAGCACATCTTTTGATGATTTTTAATTTAATTTTTATAAAACAATATGAGATGACAGTAAAAACACTTAAAGAAAGACTACGGTCAAAAGTACTTCCATGAACTTAAAACCATAAACATTCAAGAGGATTTCATTCATGTTGTGAACAATGTTATTTTGAAATGTATCTTTTCACCCTAATATAATAATTTAAAAAAAACTGATTCTGCCAACAAATCTCTTCTATTCCTGTTACCATCATAAATAAATTAAAACATTGACTCAGTTTCCCTATGTCCTGAGTGTTCTTTTGTACCTGAATTCCCTGTGAACAGCTACCTCTGTTTGGGCGATCTTGAATATGGCTCACTCTGCTGGTTCCCAGGGTCCCAACTGGACCAAGGGTCCCACCTGGACCAAAGCTTATTCATGAAAAGATTTAAGAACCCGCAGAAACAATCCTGAACTTCACCTGAACAAACTCAACAAACATAAGAAAATAAAATCATGACATCTGACAAAAAATCTCAAAGACACTGAAATGTTCCAGTTGTGATGTGTGAGGGTGTTTGGGTTACAAAAATCATCAACATGGCCCTCAGTGAACCCATTTCAGTGGTCCGAGTTTTCCCTCATCCTTAAAGTTAAAAAGTGTGTATATGTGTGTAAGGAGCTACTGTATGTGCTTCATGACGCCCACTTCCTGAGATATCTGATGCTACAGAGAACTGTTTCCCTTTTAAATGCCCTTATTGGGGATAATATAACAAAATAGCTAATTAGAATCAACACATTACCACAGAATTTGTACTGTAAATAGCTTCGGCAAAACTATTCATCAATGGACACATTTACTTTAAGCATAAAATCTACTCTGCACCCTCAGAGGTTTTGTACTGTGTGCCATAGATCCTACAGGTCATTTGATTTTGTTCTAAATGCTCTTAATCAAAATCTACTCAAAATCTACGTCACCTCCTGTTCCCGTTGTCTCTAGTTTTACTAGCCATGAGAACAAAACAGGTTGATGATTCTTTCTTCATATGCTTCCGATGTGTGCTTTAGCTTATACTCCTCTCTCTGCTTCTTCCTTTTCTCTTCATCTAAAACACCTTTGGTGGAGCTCTTGTGTCCTTGCATTTTGCTCTCCCCCTCTCCTTCTACATTTTGATCCCAGCATAAAGCTCTTCTATCTGGGGTTTGAAGTGCTGTCGCATTTCGTTCCTCTTGGCCTTCATTGTTGGAGTGAGCAGGCCGTTCTCGATTGAGAACAACTCGGTGTGGATGTAGATAGCCTTCACCTGAAGGACACACAGAGGGTGGCAGGTTGTGTTACAGAGAATAATAATGTTTCACTTTCAGAAAAACAGCATTTCATGTCTGAAAAAAGTTTGCAAGAATGCTACAAAGTCTACAGATTTATCTAGTGATATATGGCAAAGATATTTCAAATCTTAGCTGAATAATGAGCCAGTGTTGTACCTGCTCAAAGGACTTGAGGCCTCCTTTCTTGCCCAACTGCAGCATGTCCTCCAAGATAGCTGCTTTGACTTCCTGTGCAGATAAAAAGACATACCTCAGAATGTTCTTCTCTTCTCTAAACTGTCACCTAAGAACTGCCACAAAGCTGATTGTCTGTTTGTTGGTTTGCTGGTTCACTTGATTATTTGTCAGCAGGATTACACAAAAAGTACTAAATCCATTTGACCAAACTTCGTGGAGATATAGGGCATGGGCCAGGGATGAACCCATTGAATTTTGGGGCATATCTACTATGAATTAGAATTTTTCTCTCTGAAGTCTGGTGTATGTTGTTTGACGGAGGTCTGAACTCTCTGAGTGCCTTTCTAGTTACATATTAGATTGAATTTTACTGTACAAATGTACCTGCTGTTGTGTCTCCCCCTGTGCACAACAGAAGTACCTAACCTTCTTTTGATTAATGTATCCTCACAGTCTCATCCGAGGAGCTGAAGTAACCCCTCATCAAGACCACCTATCTAAACCATGTCACCATGTTCTGAAGGAGTTCTTTTGAATGTATTTTAATTCTAAAATTGATGTTTAGCATTATTAATCATATAGTAGTGGATAATTTTTCATCATTCACTACATAGTGAACGTGGAATTGGACATGTTAAAGCTTTGTGTCTTTTCAGTAGCTTCAGTTAAGTCTGCTTTCATACTGCTTCGACTTGTCTTTGCAGAAGCTGGACTTTTCCACCATCTGACTTCTCTGCATGCTCTCTGACTAGCATGTATTATTCAGGTGTTACACCAAAAACAAAGCAAGGGACTACATTGGTGGGGGTGTATTGTTTCATGCACAAAGACAGTGAAATATAATCCGGGATGTTAAGTTGTAGGAATGGCATTACATACATGCTTGCCAGTATGTGTACTGAAGATGTCACATTGCGTTGCAGCAAAAGCTGAACAAGGTTCAACTTTTTTTGCAAATGATGCAGGATTTACAGTGTGGATACAGGAAACTGTATGTATACAGTCTGATCCATCATAAACTGGAATTAAATTCTACAAACTATTACCGCTCTGCCAGACAGTTCCTCATAGCTGCCATCCAGCCCCAAGGTCCTCTTAGTCCAACCAGACAGGAAGTCAGGGTCAGGGACCACTACTGCGACCAGACATGCCTGGAGATAAACACAATATACAAGTTATGTACAGTGGTACATTTTTAGAATTACTAAATTCATGTATTACAAATTCTGTTTGACGATGTTTGCACCTATCCCTCAGAGATCCTGAAGTTTAACTCAAGAGGACAGAGATCAGAAGAAGTCAGGAGTAAATCTGTGGCTGTAGCATTTTGCTCATCGGCAGTTACTGTAAACAGGGATTATCTCGACAGAGATTTAGAATTTCCTCCACCTACCTGCAGGCTGTCTCCGTGCACAAAGACTTGTGCTACTGCATCACTCCTTATGTAGACATTCTCTATCTTCTCAGGGGCAATGTACTCCCCCTGTGCCAGCTTAAAGATGTGCTTCTTCCTGTCCACGATCTTCAGCGTGCCATTCTGCGAACACACACGCACATAAAAACATCACCAGGCTGTTGGAGATACAACATTTTATGAATATAGCTAAACCTAATAAACTTTGGTTGAAATAAAATGTGTTAAGTTGAGTTGAACAAAGTGAGGCTCATATAAAAGATGTGTGTTGAGGATGAACCTCAGCTACATGAAACTACCGGAAGCCATTTTCCAACGTCTCCGGTGTGAACCCATCCATCTGCATCAATAGCCTCTGCTGTCTTCTCTGGGTCCTTCAGATAGCCCTTGAACACGTTACTACCCTTCACACACACCTACAAACCAACACATACACACAGTTATGAGTAACATACATTATCATAAATATATAAAAGACAGTGTCTTTGGGTTTCACCTCTCCCTCTCCGTTCACAGCCAGGTAGTTCATCTCAGGAACATCCACCAGTTTAACCAAGTTACAGGGCAGAGGAGCTCCAACGTGACCTGGTGACATGAGGTCGAGTTTAGTTCTTGTAAAGCTGAGAATCAGTCAGTTCATCACACTTACACAGCTAAAAAAAAGTCTTACCTGCAGTCCAGTCCCCGGGCACGGTCATTGTGCACCCAGCAGTACACTCTGTTTGTCCATAGCCTTCATAGAACTGAGATAGAAAGCAACATAGGATTATTATTATTATTATTGTTATTATTACTGCTACTACAAACATAAGATTATGCAATGTAGAACTTATCAGGAACAAAGAGTGTGGATGAGGAATGATTACAGATCAGACGGCAGAATTCCAGGAAAGGTGTCGGAAAGCGACAGGATAAAATGTGAAATAAGGGCTAAAAATAACTGTGAGTGTCTGTGTGTGTGTGTGTGTGTGTGCGTGTGCGTGCGTGCGTGCGTGCCTGCGTGCGTGCGTGTGTGTGTGTTTCTTACCTGACAGCCAATTGCAGCTCTGAGGAAAGTCAGAACAGTGGGAGAGATGGGAGCAGCTCCTGTTATCATGAGACGAACGCGACCTCCGAGGCTGGCCTGCAGAGGGAAGCACACTACATTAATACTGTCTTGAACAAATGAATGTTAAAAGAAATCAGTCAACCAGGTATTTTCAACCCTGAAATGCGGACATTCCGCTCCTATGGTTTGAAAAGCTGGATGTGGTCACAGTGTAATCCAGGACCACTGACAATAAAACATTTTACCACATTTCTCTCGCGATAGTCCAAAATCACACAGCCTTAAGTAGAGAACAGACATCCACTTTAATGAAACGTTCAGCACAGAAGAGAATCTTCTACCATAATTGTAATGAATTCATTAAATCCATCTGCTCCTGCCTCCTCGACAGGATATGCCTGCTGATAGCTGCTAGCTAGCATTAGCTGCCCAGCTTATAAAGACGATTTAAAATAGAGTGTGCCCTGTTCTGTTGACTCTTTACCAGAGGTGATATCATGTCAACAAACAAGAGATTGCAGATCGGTGTACTGAGTCATTTTTCAGTCAGTTCCTTTTATAGATGCAAACATTAACTCACTGTGAGACTGCTAGAAACCAGCTAACCAGCTCATCTTCTCATTCAAACCAGACTTTGGTGCACATTGTAATAACACTTTGCAATTGTCAATAACGTTGACAATTTACACATTGTGCCAAAAACTTAAATTCAATTTAACTTAATAAATTCATTATATCAACCACTCGACTGTACAGAGCTATAACAGGAGTTTGACCTGTTCTGGTCGTGTTTACCTGAACCTTCCTGAAGATAAGTCGATCCCAGATACTGTCTCTCCTCACGATGCCTTTCAACATCTCTGCCTCCTTCCTCCTGTAGGCAAATCCCAGCACCCAGCGCTTCACAGAGGTGTTGGCCTGCCCAAAGATCTACAAAAAAAAAACAAAAAAAACACACACACACACACCTTAGTTATCATCAGCAATTAGGTCTATGGCGAATTCACGCAAGGGTCAGACATTTAACAGCATGTGCACTGTCTAAACTCTGGCCTGCTTATAACATCATGGTGTCCACCTACCTTATCATACATTCTATTCAGGAGTCGGGGCACCACAGGGAACACAGTAGGTTTCAGTGTGTTCAGGTCATCTGTCAGCCGACGAATATCTCCCTGGAAGAAGCCAATCCTGGCTCCATGCACTATCATCACTCCCTGTCAGTAATTTCAGAGGAAGATGTAGAAGTTAAGAAAGTGTAATTAAAGACACACATGGGTTTGTAGGAATAATGATTCATCTTTAACAAAGGGTGACAAAGGGGACTAAGGGAACATACCTGTACTACTCTCTCAAACATATGAGCCAAGGGCAGGAAGGAAATATGGACATCACTGGGACTAAAGGGACAGGAAAACTAAAAACACGTTCACACGCAGACGGACACACACAGACACACAGGTATACAAACACACATGAATGGACAGGACCCAGACATGCAGGCAGGGAAACACACATACACACAGACAGGGAGAGAAAGCCGTCAGTGTTAATGTTTGTATACCTCCACCACTCGCTCAAACATGTGGGCCAGAGGCAGAAAAGACAGCATGACATCCTCTGAGGAGGTCTGAGCGTACGACTGGAGAGAAGAGGAAAGAGATTATCAAAGCCTCTCACTCTTCTTTCTTAAAATATGGTGGTGCTTCTGGATGAGTGCATACAATAGGCTGGATACAAGGCATCATATTTATTATTAACTGTTATTATTATCGTCAGCAATGGGCTAATGGACACATGAATTATCTATCTATCTATCTATCTATCTATCTATCTATCTATCTATCTATCTATCTATCTATCTATCTATCTATCTATCTATCTATCTATCTAACAATCTATCTATCTATCTATCTATCTATCTATCAGACTAATAATTCAGAGCTCTCTCTCTATCTCTCTTTGCTTTTCCCACTTTCCATCACACCTTCTGCTCTAACCTTCCTCCTCCTCTTTTTTTTTGCTTTGCTGGCTCTCCTGTTCTTTCACTGTATTCTGAGTTACTTGTAATTTAACCAGTTAATCCCATTCATCATATAAAACTGTCCCCAGGTAATTTCCTGGGTCACAGCAGCAGGTGTGTGTTCAGATTTCCAAAACAATGTGGTTTCCACCTCAGCCTCCTGCTCTAACGTGAGTGAGGGAAGAGAGAAAGGAGGAGGAAGAGAAAGACAGGAGGAGATACAACAGGAAAAAGAGAGGTAGAGGAGCAGAGGAGGTGATAGAGAATGAAAGGAGGAAGTAGAAAAGGAAAGGAAGAGGTAGAAAAAGACAGGGAGAGATAAAGCAGAAGACAGAGGTAGAGAAGCAGAGGAGGAGAGAGAGAAGAAAAGGAGGTTGAAAAGGAAAGGAGGAGGTAGAGGAAGACAGGAGGATACAGAGAAGGGAAGAAGAAGATATAGAAGGAAATAAGGAGGTAGAGATACAGATGAGGAGAAAGAGAGTAAAAGCAGGAGGTAGAAAAGGAAAAGAGGAGGTAGAGATCAAAAATGCTTCTGTAACAACAAAGACTCTGACTGTTGTTTCACCGTGACTCTCACCTCTGTCATCTTGATGAAGGCTGAACAGTTGGACACAATATTCCCATGTGTCAACATAGCTCCCTTTGGATTTCCTAAAAGTGAACACACACACACACACACACACACACAAACACACACACACGACTTTAGGGAAAAAGCATACACATAGTACAGATTCTATTGATGAGATGTTTTGGGTGCAGTTCACTGTGTGTGTCACACCTGTTGTTCCACTGGTGAAGCAGATGACTGCCATGTCCTCAGGCTGCGGAGGCTGGAGGGACGGTGGTGTCAACGGTCAAACAGTGTCATATAACACTCAACATAATCGTCTTTTATATACTGACTGGTGAGAGGTCAGTGTTTACTTACCACTGGTTGTTGATGGTTGGCTTTTCCAATAGCCTGCACAACAAGAGAGGCTCATTAATAAAGTCAATATGGAGGGAATAAACGGACAAAGACAGCAAAAGACAGAGCAATAAACAAAAACAAGACAACTAAAATGAAGCCAGCACGAGATGAAAACTAGAAAGAAAAAAGCAAGACCATAAGAAATAACGTAAGGAGAAAATGACAACAAAGCAATAAAAACAAATAGACATATGCACAAAGGAGGGTTGTAAAAGAGGAAAGCAAAAACACAAAAATGAAAAAAAGAAAATAAACAAAAATACATAATATTTCCAAACATAATGACAAAAACAAAAAAATAACTGAACATTACAAAAAAGAACTGAATGAAGAATAAAAGAAAGACATAGGGTGGGGATAAACGTTGCCTGCTGACCTCCATCTCCTGCAGGCTGAGGATGTGGATTCCAGCCAGTTGGCCCCTGTTGACCAGGTCAGCATCGGGGGTCTCCATGAGAACAATGGTTTTCACAGAGTGTTTCCTGTCTTGGACACAGTCCAGCACAAGGTTGACTTTCTCTACCACGTCACAGATTACAGTGGAGATGCAAGCTGCAGGAACGACACACAAACCCATGCAGATCAATCAGGTCAGCAGCAGTTCTTCACCAACACAAACACTCATGTCGAAGTCAATGTGTTCAGGTTGTGGTTGCTGTGGTTTACCTTTGTCTATAATGTAGGCGATGGCTTCTGTTCCCAGTGTGTCGTACAGAGGGACTGACACCAGAGAGTAGGTGTAACATGCCAGCTCACTGATGGTCCACTGCAACCACACACACACACACACACACACACACACACACACACACACACACACACACATAAAGAAGCATTATAGGATGATACATTTACAGTAGATATAACATTAACAATAAAAGATAAAACACTGATATGATGATGATTAATTATTTCCAGGTAAATGTCAGTATGATTTTTTTGTGATTATAGGTTAAATTCAATGACTGAAAAACACTTTTAAGCTTTAAAGTGTGTGTGAGTGTGTCTGCACCTCCGGTCTGTTCTGAGAGAAGATGCCAATGTAGGGGTCGGTGGTCTTGGAGTGTCCTTTGTGAAGAAATGCTGAACCCAGATTCTCTGTTCGCCCCATTACCTAACACACACACACACACACACACACTAACTGTTAACGCTGGACTAGCAAACAACCACATACACTGAGCTTTGTTTGACCTCATTATCTCATTATAAATCAAAGATAAGGGCAAAAGGGATATAAAAATGTTTTTTAATTGTAAGTATTATAGCAATAAACACGCACATGTGCTGTTACAATCACAGATTAGACGTTATTGGCCGGTAGTTTTCACAGCAGCCAAGTGGTGTAATCAGTCAATAACACCTCTGCAGTCTTTGAACTCCCGGGGCTGGAGTGTTTCCTTAATATTTCACCAACAATGTTCAAGCTGAATTAATGGTTTACTATCAGTAACAGACAATGTTATGAATTTCACACTTAAAGGTGTAATTACGTGATATGTAAGTATTCCTCATAAATAACACTAGGGGGACTGACAAGAGACAGACTTATGAAAGAAGGGTCAGATTCAGCGGAGCAGAGTACAAGATATCCCGACCTTTAGTTCCTAGTATGTGTCAAATTCCTCAACACTGGATCCTACATTTTTTGCCAGACCCTGCCTCATAAATGTCCATGTCTTTAAAACTTTACACCCTTGGTTTGTAATGTAGGCTTTCTTTTATCTTTAAGGTTACAATTTGACAGCTCCTCCAGGGCTGAGGTGACATTATAAAACTGCTCTCACAGGCAGAGGAGAACTCCATGTGGACTGGATGTGTAAAACTGGTGAAATGCCTCTTTAATTATTATCTATATGCAAGATGAAATACACTTCATTAAATAAACCAGTTCAGAAACAAAATTCAAATACAAATACAGCCCACAGAGGTCATATATCCCCCACCTTTCCAATAGCTTTACCACAACCACCACTACGTGTCAACCACTGGTTGTGCTTCATGCAGCTTACAGCTCTACTGCTGTCCAGCCGGAGGCCGTAATGTTTTTATAAGGTGAGCGGCTGAGGTTGAGTCTCACCTCTTTGTAAGACATCCATTCATAGGGCTGTTTTGGTTTCCTGGAGCCCAGACAAGGTCCATTATCTGGAGGATGAAAGAAGAGCAACAGAGAGGGGAGTGAGAACAGGAGAAAAGCAAACGGTGCCGTTTATATCTTAATACACCTTATCACACATATAGTGTATCTTCCTACAGTGCATATTCTACAGCTGACTTACGACACACCTGTTTTTTGGTAAAAAAAAAACATGTTTGTTGCGTTTTGGGGGAAGCAGTAAAACTATCATATTTATCGTAGAGGCAAGATGCTGACTCAAAGAGCTGCGGTTTAGTGTTCAGGCTAAGATCATACAGCAAAAAATATACTATATTATAGTATAGTAAACTACTTTAAGAAAAAAGTGTACTGTAAAGTAAACATCTTGCTAAGCAGAGAGTGATCTAGTTTATTGTAATGACAGGTATGAGGTTTAAACCCCTTGTGTGAGGAAAAGTCTGTACAGCAGCAGCAAGTAACACTACATCTAAAAATATGTGCACTGATAATCATAATGTATTATTTTTGACTTACTGGAGACTCGGGCCCCTCTGAGGAAGAACTCGTACATCGTCCTGCCGTCATCATATAAATGTGTCATGTGATCGTCTCCTTTTTGAAGAACTGATCTGCGCGCCAAATCTCCGCCCTGATGAATCAAACAAATGCACGTTATGAAAGCTTTGATTGATCCTACAGTAACTCCAACATCACATTCAGTCTCTTGATCTTTGCTTGGATATTTCTTTTATCTATTTACAATTTGAATGAGAACCCTTGATTTCCTTCCAAATTTATGATTTAACAAATATATTATAAAAAAAAAATACTGCAGGATATCTATGAATCGGAAATTGAGAAA